ACTTCCAGCCTCCGCTACCACCTCAATGCCAAACATGTTGCAGCTAGCACAGACAACGCTCCTAATTCGAGCCGGCAGTGTCGCTAATCCACACTCGACAAGATGACAGGGTTCAGAGCCAAAATGAGTCCACGACTGACAAAAAAGTCCTGAAAAAGCTTGAATATAGCTAACTTGAATTTAAGTTTATGCCTTGTGAACAATGTTATGTTACATCAGTGGATGAATAAATAAGATTTTTTGTTGTTTAAGTTTTCTGTGTCTATTATTGATTCAGTCATTCAATCCATTTAATTGAAAAATGTTGCTTCTCGTGTAATATTGATATGCGATTTATTGAGATTAATTAATTACAAAGCCTCTAATTAATTAGATTATTTTTTTTATATCGAGTCCCACCACTACTAACATTTTTAGCTCAAAGCAGAGCAACTCTTAGACTTGTTTTGTTAGTAGTGCCAACATGATGCCTATTTCAAGTACCAAAATAGAAAAAATATTTTTTTTGATAACCTATGAGGAATGGAAATAGAGGTTAACAGCAACACACAATGTGTCAGTTTTACACTTTGATTTTTGATTAAACCAAGGAGAAATGATGTATTAGTGAGTTTTAGAGATGCTTTTGGTGATGATTTTACAGGCGATTTTTTCCTGATTACTTGTGCTAAGCTAAGCTAACTGGCTGTTCCATTAGAATGATCTTAATCTTCTTATATCTCTCGGCAAGAAAATTAATGTGTATTTACCAAAATGTTAAACAATTTCTTTAATGCCTTGGTGTTGCAATCATTAACTCAAAAACTATAAAAAATATCGAGCTGTACGGTAGGCTATCTTCTGGCTCCAACAGTAATCTTTGCCCTGTCCACTCATAATCTTCACCATTTCTCTTCTTCTTCATCTATTCCCTACCCACTTTCCCAACTCTATATCTTTTTTCCTGTTATCTCCTCTTATGTCCCTTCCTTTCTATTCTTCCACTGACCCTTCCACTTCCTCCACCTTCTCCCCCTGCCCCATCATTACTCCTCTTTCAACGCTCATCTTTCTAAGGCTGCCAAATTCCCCAGCACAACAGTGCTATTCTGCTGCCTACTAATAGAATCTCTCAGTTCCTCTAATGGATCTGTCAGAATCTCCCTGAGCACAGGAGACCAGATAGATTGATAGGAAGAGTGAGAGAGACAGAGAGAGAGAGGGACAAAGAGACACAGGGACACATGAAGAGAAAAGCAAAGAGAAATAGGAGAGATGCGTCGGGGCTCTCAACACTGTCATCTGTGCCATGGAAAGTCTCAGAGCAGCAGCTCCACTGACACTGCCAACCAGCGACCATATGGTCCGACAGAAGCAGTGCCACTTAAGGCCATCCCATTGTCACCATGGGATAAAGTCAGTTTCACTATGGTTAGGTGAAAGTAACAGACAGGGTGAGTCTTTTCCAAGAGTGTACTGTACTTATATGCACAGGCAGGGTTTCTACTTTTTCATGTTTGCTTCAATGATTCGGCACTGGCACTCATCCAGGAAGAATTCTTTGTAAAATGCAAATGAGAATAAATGGTGGGAAACCTTGTGGGCTCACCTCCACAGCATAGTAGAATCTTTATCACATTAATATACTTAAAACACATTTAACACCCTAATTAGGTAAAAATAGTTTTGAGTGGTAGATAAAGTGAACTTTGTGTAAATATATTACGTTGACACTTCTGGTGCTGTGGTGGGTTTACACTTTGAATTAAACATTGTAATTTAATTTCTTGTCACTTTATCCACCAGGACCATTGCTATCCATACCAACAATCCAATCCTTAATTTTTTTGTCCCAAACAACCTTTTTTAAGTTCAGTTTTTCCTCGGAAATATCTACCAGGCACCAGTTTGGAAGTCTTTTATTTACTTACTACCAATTACGGGTGCATTAAATTAAATTAAAAGTAGCAAAATGGACATGTATTTATCTGAAGGTTTTACAGATTATTTAAAATACATCACATACTGTGTATGTTTAATTATCTTCTATCAATGATGTACAGTGGGGTATCTGACACTCACCGTCGTCTGTGGCGATGAAGACAGCTGTGTATTTATTGTCATGGACATAAGGAGACTCACGGTCCAGAGAGGCTGAAGTGTTGACAGTTCCTCTGACTGGGTTCACACTCAGCCAGCCTGCTGGGTCTTGCAGAACAGCATACCTGGGAGAAAGTAAATAACATAAGTAAGAAGTTGTGACCATATAAGCATCACATCAACTATGGTCTATCTTACAGTAAAGGTGTCTTTACAGTTTATTTTGCTCCTATATTTTTAGGTTTAGGTTACAGGCATCTCACAGACAAACAGCTCCATATACAAGAGCAACAGACAAGACAGGCATTTTAACTCTCTCTGTACACTCCATATTTGTCCTGTACACTGTATAAGGAATGAGAATTCCTGACTTTAGCTTAAAACATATTAGCTTTTAGAAAAATTGTGCAGCAAAGGGTTAGGGTTAGGGTTAGGGTTTTTTAAATTATATTATAAAGCAAGATAAGTTGTTGTAAGACTACTATATACATGAAAAGAAAAACAAGTGTGAAAAGAAATCTGAAACAAGGCTGTTTTTTACAAAAACTAAAGGACATCACTGAGATGGCACATTGTTCGCATTTTATATATCTGCCCTTTTAAAGAGCAGCTCTTAGAGTTACCTTGAACACCCACTACTGCGAATGATTAAAACAGTGTAGGTGAGACCTCTTTACATACAATAAGTATAAAACCTAGTAGTTTTAGTGAAGATGCTATACATAAGAGAAGGCTAGAATCAAATCAAAACAAAAGCTAGAATCAAACTGCAGTTTGATGAAGTTTTATCATCTGAAGTTAGATAATGTACAGTTTATGTAATGTATTTATGTACAGCATAACATGTGACAGTATGGCTTAAAGGCGACAGAGGAAATAATGAACATGACATTTCAACTAAGAGCTTGTCTAAGATTTGTTAAGTGAAAGAAAGTTGTAAGTTGTGCAGTTTGTTATAAATGTGATAAAGGTGCTGAGCGAACAAGAAAATGGTGTGAAAATGTGCCCAGAGTTACTTCCTGTGCATAAGCTCTGTCCCTAAGTGCATGCGTGTGTAGGTGACTGCTGCAGCAGCTCCTGCAGGGCTGAGGTTTGAAGATGATGGAGGACCTCTCCAGAAATCTTGTGGGCGAACGGCCAAGCCGACATCGCCTTGAAAACGAGCAGAAGAGCAGATCATGACCCTGCTAATGTGGCCACTCAGCCGGCCACTGATGGCTAGTGGATGGTGATTGGAAGGGGCTTGCATCTGTGTTAATGTCAGAAGTGATTGATTTCAGAACTCTGGTGCACCATTTTTCCATATATACACAAATGTGCAGACACGCACATACATATCTGTAAGCAGATACTCATAAATAGGCTTACATGTATATTGTTCTTATATATTCTGTAACACATGACTCATAGATGCAAAAAAGGCACAAATAGGCAGCTGGAAATTTCTCAGATACACACACACAGACACACAAGACGACAGACTTTCTTCACCACAAGGCCGCTCTTTGCCAAAGTGCTCAGCAGTAGACAAATTGTCTTTGAAATGGAACTCTTCAGCTAACAGAGCGCGACAAAGCCCTGGGAAATGGCTTTGCAATCAACCTCTGCTCACACCTTTCCCCCCTCGCTCTGACTCACGCGCACTTTCCTTGCCAGTGATCGCTACTGTTAACCAACACATATGTTTTATCGTAACAAAAGAGGGACTGCTGTGAGGTTAAATGCACTATGAATAATGACACATATATCATTGTACATGTTCGCCTTCTGCACGTTTCTCTCTGCTTCTTACACGTAGACACTTAGGCAAACACACATAGAGCACCCATATGATTCATGAGGCCGACTCAGCCAATAAAACAGAGCTAGACTCACAGGTTATTAACCTGCATATGTCTCACTCCTCCCATCACTGACTATACTATCAGACATTCACTCTCATCTCTGTGTTGCATATTACATTACATGTAAGACCTACTAAATATGTACTACAAACCTGCAAAATTGCAGTCAAGAAAATACCAAAGTCATGTTTGAGGTCATTTAGAAACAGTCTCTATCTTCTCTTTATTTTTTAACTGTAATATGTACTGCTCTTTAAACTGTATCTTGGTCACAATTCACGAGTTTGATATTTTTGGAAATATGTTTATTCGCATTAGCTGAGCCCAAAGACAGAAAACAGGAGAAAAACAGCCAGCTTAGCTGTGTCCAAAGGTAAAAAGAAAAAAGCTCTCTAATTAGTACCCATTAATTATCTTGTTTGTTTTGAAATGTAATAATGACATGTTGTGGTTTTATGAGGGGTTATTTCCTGGACAATCTGCCTACCAGTGTTATGATGATGTCCAGACTGTTTCCAGTCTTTGTGCTAAGCTAAACTAATCAGCTAAAAAAAAAAAGCCTAACTATTCCTTAAATGACAAATTTTACTGTCTGGAATACTTATCAGAGATGTTTGTAAAAATAATTCTGACATCAACAGAAACTACAATCCAAAAAAGGTGCTATGTAATATACATTTCAACACTGATGCTCTGCTAAATCTTTCAGAGTGAAGCAAAAATCCCTCTGAATTAACCAGGGATTGAAGTCTGGAAATCAGCAGAGCAGCCTGACCATCCTGTATCCCTGAAATCTTCCCTTAAATGTTCATTTTGATCCCATATAAAACTCACATTCACTCTAAAAGCTCAAACCCTGGGAACTTCTTTCAGACACGCTGACAGCCAAATACAATGGGGCTACGTGGACTGTTGAATTAAATATCAGGGTTTCTACCAACAGTAGAAGTTCCGAAGACGTGTAATGCTTCTGTCTGCTTTAGTGCAGGCTCAAAGGTAACCACTAAATGAATCAGATCCACTGTTCCTCCCCTCTGTGAAAACATGGGGACAGTCCATTAGAGCCCTTTAAAGGGCAAATTAGAAAGACATTAAAAAGCCATTAGGAATATTCATATCTGGTTATACGTGGTTATCTCCAAAAGCAGAGAAGGCCCAAACAAATCAGTCAACAAATGAGACAGCGCACAAACACACTGATCATGCATGTCCCCATTTAGCTACAAATACACACAACCGCTTTAAACGTTCACACACTCAAGCAAAAAATAAACATGCAAGTTGAAGCAAAAAAAAAAAAGCCTGTGTATTCTGCTTGCACTGTGAAATAATTCGATTTGTCCAGATTTTTGTCGAGGTGATTTGTCCAGATTTTTGCTTGAGTGGCAGAAAGTGCCACATCGTAAGGCAAACACTGTGACCCCAATGTTGGAGAGAGCAGGCCGTTATATTGCTCTTTCCGTTGCACTGCAGAGCTACACCCTTAGGGGTTACTCTGAGCTGCTATAGCTGCCATCAGAGCCCAGTCAGGGGTTGTGTGTGTGTGTGTATGCATGTATGTGTACAAGTGTGTATGTTTTGGTAAGGGATTGCCCTCAGCTGTAAGAGGACACAGAGGAGCCTGGCTGGGGCTGGCAGGAGTCTAGTGCATCTGTCTGACTGACTCATTATGTGCGATTCAAAAAAGAAGAAGCAGCCATCCTTTTAGTGTTTATCAAAAACAAAGGGTTGGTTTAAATTATGAGTAAAAATGTAAATGATCTCCTTTTAAGTTGAAAATATTATAATTTGAGAAAATTGCAGGTGCTTGGTAATTTTTGTTGTTGTAGTTGAAAACATGTAATTCTGCAGCAGGTATGCTATTTTACAACATTCAATAAGAAAGCTGTGCAGAAAACCTAAAACGATTTTATTTGAACACTGAAATAACCTGGCACAAAATGATGCTTAATAAAACTATAAAGGGAGTCTTAAACAATACATATTGAGGATGTATTCAGAAGTATTTATCTTGCAGTGTTATTGTGGCTCTTGTTGATGTGTTGAGGCAGATGTGTTCTTTCTAACTCTGATCTAAGCCTTGTTCTTCAGTTCCTTCAGACAACTCAAAGGGATCTGGGAGCAGAAGGGAGAAAGACACTTGCCTCCCACTTGTAATCCAGTTACATCGGGAGCAAAATGCTGGCATACATTGTGTACATCTGTGTGTGTTTTTGTGTCAATAGCAGGTGTGGGTGGGATACACAGAATAAGACATTTTGTGGTAAGAGCTCATTTAGAGAGAAGATAAAAGCTGAGTAGTGAGCACCATAGAGCTCTTTGCATAAATGATGATTATTGCTCTGGTTTGTTTTTTCTTAGTAAGATATGTTGCTGCCACCACTTCTAAGTAGTAGTTTGGTTATTTGTGCAGTTTCTTCTTTTTAAATGCACATAGGTTTGCTATGAAATAATAGTGAAGGTGGATCTCTGATGAGCTTGGAGTCTCACAATGTGCTTTTCTAATAAAAAGGTTGAACACTGAAGTGCTTTTCAATTTGTTTAATTTGATTTCCATCATACCGTAGCCATATTGTTTGTTGCACCTCTTGTTCGTACATCATGTTTGTGTCGAGAAACTCTATCTAGTAATGATCCTAAATGGTTTGTTAAATAATTTTAACTGACCTACACTTTTCTTGCATCATTTAGTGCAGTATTAAACATATTGAAATGCAAATGTTAATAAAAGGTAGCAGATACGTTTTCAGGCATTAGTTGTCATGATCCGCTCCTGGCTT